CAAGTGGATTACTATAGAGCTATAGTACCCCACCCCACGACCTTTACAATATACTAGAAGATAGAAGACTAGGAAGATTTTAGACCCCACGTGATGCACAGAGCATTAATTCATACCATTTCTCTAAGGGAGAAATGTGAAAGTTAATTTTTAAAAAAAAATTAAAAGGAGTGATAAAAATAACTATATTTTTTAAGTTTTTTTTAGTGATTGCAATAAATTATACTCCTTCTATCTTAAATTATAAAACACTTTTAGAAAAAATTTATCATTTTAAAATATAAAATACTTTGAGAAGATGAAGATTTCATTAAATAAGCTTATTCCAATACTACTCTTTATCTCTCTCTATTTAATACTAATTAAGTGTAGATTTAAAGTTATTAAATGAAGGATATTTTTAAAAGTTTATATTTTTATTTTAAAAAATAAAGTTATTAAGTGTTTTTAATAAAATTTATTAGTACGTAAGATTTTATCTAAGAATGATATAAAATTTGAGACGGAGGAAGTACTTTTTATTTCTAATATGAGAAAAAAAATTTGTTATTAGAATATAGAAATAAAAATACTTGTTTAAAAAACTACAAACAATTTATTTTATTTTAAAATTTTTTATTCAATTATACTCCAATACATACAATAATTTATTTTAATCTATATATTAGACCCAAGCAAATTCAAATTTTAAGACATACATTTTGTTTTAGAGTTCCATTCTTTCCCACTATATAAACAATTTATTTTATTTTATCCATTACAAATATTTCATGCAATGTCCATACATTCTACGTACTATAAGTCATTTGAATATTAAATTTTAATGTGAAAAATACATGAATAAAAAATGTTAAACTAATGTCATAAAAATTAAAAAATAAAGTAACTTACATGGTTGATTGAGGTGCAAAGTTTGGTAAAACGAAGAAGAAGAAGAAGAAGGTACAAAGGCACAAATCAAGTATCTGTACGAATTGGGAATCACGTATGTATAATCCCATTGGCCATTATCATTAGTTTATCCAAAAATAATAATTGCACGACGTCAGGGAAACACGGAGCACACGTGTCAAAACCCCAGATGATGCGCCAATTTGTGTAAATGGTGTTAAAGATTCAACAAATTCAAAATTAAAAAATACAAAAAAAAATTCTTTATACCAATATTTTTGGGCTGGGACATTGTCATTCAAAGGGGTCAACATCTGGCACAGTTTGGTCAAAAGGACTTAAAATGGGATGAATTTGACCATTTCAAAAGAAGAAGCATGGAAAATGGTGTGTGAATGCGTTCTTGACTTGGCTCTCCCTATATATCTTCTGCTTTATTGATTCAGCCTTGGTCTGAGAAAATAGAGTAATTAATTAATGATGAAATTATAATAAGGGAAAATATAGCTTCATCCCAGGAGAAATTTTATATTAGCCGAGGAGCTTAAGATTTTGATATTTCACTACTCTTCACAATACTTATTTAAAAATAAGTTTGTATTGGAAAATACCTAATTATTTCTATTTTTTTAACTTGTTCATTTTCAAATGAATTATTATTAATTAATTATTATCAAAATTTAAATTAATATGTGTTTATACAAGACTAACACATGCCCTATCAACTTTTTAACTTGTTTATTTTTAAAGAAGTTATTGTTAATTATGAATAGATTATTATCAAAAATTCAAATTGATATTTATTTATACAGGAGTAACACTTGTTTTATCAATTTTTTTAACTTATTCATTTTTCAACATGTTGTTGTTAATTATAAATGAGTTATTGTAAGTTATAATTTTATATATTTTTTATCCTTTTTATTTAGACTTTTTAATATTTATTTAAGGCTAGTTGAGTTTAATTAAATATTATTTAATTTTATTAGTCAATGTTCAACTTTTAAATTTTAACTACCTAGGTCTTAAATTTTAAATATAAATAATTTTTTTAATTTTTTTTCTCACTCGCTATTTGATATTAGTTTATTTGTGCAAATTTTTAAATTTAATTTAAAAGATATTGATAAAAATTATGTTAGATAAAAAAATATGAACACACTTAAATATTAAGTTAAGAAATAAATTTTAGAAACTTTATTTATGTTTATTTTGATTTTTTTAATGTAGTTTTTAATTAAGATTATTAAAGATAATTTATCCTTTTTATTAAATTATTAGGTTTTGAAAGGCAGCAAATGGGCGCCTCACTTTTTAAATTAAAAAGGAACGAACGACAGAGGCGGATGGGTGATAACCCTTCGTCTTTTTTCGTTCATCAATTGCTTTGGGAGATGGCTTCTAATGCTCTTTTTTTATACCTATTTCTGTTTCATTTGTAGAGTTATAGAGAATTAATTTTCTTAGTGTGATTAATCATAAATTATAATCTTAAATATTAATTAGAGTCTTTGATATTTAAAAAATATTTTATTTTATTTTTATTTTAATTTGCTCTTCTTCTCCTTTCTCTCCAAATGTTATGTTTTAATTGTTATTGTTAATTTGAATAACTTTACTACATGATTTTTAGATTATATATTTTATCTAAATTTTTGCTTGCTGTAATTGATTGATATAGCATCATAAAATAATTTGACTTAACTTAGATAATTATTCATACTTTATTTTTGGTGTGGCTAACTTAGAAAAATTGTTAAGTTATGAGTTAAAAGAAACTTTAATTAATCCATAATTTAATTTTTTGTTTAATCTTTGGATGATAATTTGATAAATATATAATAAAATCAGAATAATAAAGTTAAATAAATTTAATTTATTTTTTAAATGAAAAAGATTAAGTTTAGATGATTATGTTGTAATTGATTGCGCTGACTATGCTTGGTGATTTTTTCTATTGAACTTCCTTTGATTATTTAATTTTAATTTATTTTTTTAATTAATATTGTAATTAAAAATCCCCCACTATTTAGTTTTTCATAATTTTAATTCAAATAGTTAATCTATCAAATTTTAAAAAGATGACCTATATTGTGTTTTGCTACAAAATTTAATTTTTTATAATTTTGATATTATTTGACAGCAGTATAAAAATTTTGGTACTAATATTAATTTAGTATTAATTTTTTTATGAGATCCTTACTTATCATTGTTCTTTAAATTTATATAAATTTCCACTTACATTTGTCCAAAATTTTAACAAGTTTTCACTATTATCCATGAAATTGATTAAATTATTGTTTTACCATCTTGATCTCACCACTTTATTGATATTAAGGGAGGAGAAAGTTAAAATAACAAATAACAAAGGGCCAAAAAATAATAAATATTGGGAACAGATGGAAAATATAATAAGCATCAAGCAACCCTCCCCTAAAAAGTTTCCTACATATACTCCCTCCATTCTAAACACAGTAAGACCCTTCTGAGAAATTTGACTTAGTCCTTTGTATAAGAACCTATCCATAATCAATCTGTTTCTTACATCAAATGCTTTGGTTTTTTTTTTAACCAAAATACTCTTAATTAAGGCTCAATTTTAATTCCACCAAAGAAAAAAGCTCAATTTTTATGGTGAAAAAATCATTATGAGTCTAATTTAACTATTTTTAATATAGAATTGATTAATTTTTTATCATAATCAATTAATTAAAAAAGACCTTTTATTATAATCTTATTTATAAGTTACTTTCATTATTTTTTTCAAGAAAATCTTAAAACTCATTAGAAAAATCCTTGATTGTGCAATTTTATTGGACAGAGCATGAATAATGTGATACATCGGGTCCATGTGAAAATTTCTCAACTAATTAATCATGTCTAAAAATTAAATAAGTTCTAAACTTTACTCCAATTATATATGCTCAACATATTTTAGTAACATACTTTTTTGCTCCAACATTTAATGGGACAAAAGAGAAAACTTATGATAAATAATTAATGACATAATTTATAAATACGATCAAAATAATTTTTCTCTCTCTATGTTATAAATTTTTATGAATAAAATAACAAGGAATATAAAAAAAAGAAGGGAGTATATAGGAACATTTAGTTGGAATTTGGAAAAGTGATGGTGGAATCCAGGAGAATTCCAAATTCTTGGGGAAGAGGGCTTTTATTAAGTGGGGAAATTCAGGGAAGGCACCAAACATTGCTCCTTAGTGCCTGTCTCCATCACTGAATCATTCTTTTCAGTCTGCCTCCCCATTTCCTCCCTTATTCTTATTCTAACCTATGACTTTCCACATTCTTAGCCGCCACATACCAGACTTGCCTATCCCCCCAACCCTTCCCCAATAATACAACCCAGTTCGTGTTTGCATGTATATATATGTAAGAAAATTCGGTCAACCTATTAAATGATATTTTGATTGATTTAATAAAATGATCAGTTCATGATTGGTTTATCCTGGTTTGATTATCATTTTAATCATTAACCCCTTGAATTAATATCTTAATTGATTTAATAACCATATTCCAATTATTAGTAGCTTTGTGTATATGTAAACACAGCGAACTCATATAGAAATGAGGATGAACAAGTGTCCCCACTCAACTTTAAAAAATTTATGAATAGATGGAATTTAAAAAAAAAAATTGTCCCCATTTCCCCCAATAATTTTAAACAAGTTCAAAAAAAATTTTGGGTTTTTTATATTTACTTAAATTTAATATATTTTCAATTTTGGATTTATTATATTTAATTTAAATTATTTTTATGAAAATATCATTTTAATTTTTATTTTCTAACATCATTTTACAAGAATAAATATTTATTATATAAATTAAATTATTTTTTATTATTTTTACATTTTATATAATTATACCCCTAGCTTTCTTCACCTTCATGTGTTATAACAGGACCTTTCCGTGTGAACTTTTCCAGCCCCATTCCTGGTGTCTCTCTCTAGTCAAACTTTCTGTTTGTTTCCACGGAAAATGACAGCTTTTGAAAAGTTTTTCAACATCCCAATGCTGGGGATTAATAGGTAATTTCAATCAAGACCACGTTTCGTGACCCAAAATGACAATTCAACCCGTTCAAATAAGAAAAACATGAGAAGAATCTCATCTAATTACACCACCAAGAGTTGAGAATTCACAATAGTAAAATGATAGAGCAGATGAACTGATATATGTACAAATAGTGTTTGACACTTGAATTGAAACACCACCACATATTCTCTCCCTCAATGACTGGGCCCCAGAGTGACCATTAGAAACGAATTTACAAAGGCATTTTCTCTCGTAAGCTTCACCTCCATCCCCTTGTTTGATCTCATTTTCCCTACACCCTCTAAAACTAACAGTTTCACTTCCTCTAGGGTTTCTCTGACTCAGTTTTGCATATCTTCAGGCTTTTACTGTACAAGGCCATGGCTAGAATAAATTCTCTTTCTGTAAGCAGACTTTACCTAACATGCAATTCTTAAGCAGCAAAACTGGTCGCTCAGATTGGTATCAACTAAATTTCTGATTATCTGATAAGCCTCCAATGTTGTGAATTTTAGAGGATCCTGATCCAGGATGTGGTGTTACATAGGCACTGCCTACTTGAGATTTTGAGAATGCCTCATATCCTCAAGAGTAGGACTTAACTAAGCCAAAGTTAGCAAATGACTTGGACTTGAAGAGGCCACCAAAGAGGAACCTTGTGGGGGAATCCTGAACCGGTGGTTTCGGCTCCGAAGGTAGGCCCTTAACTTTAAGGATGCTGTCTCCTATTGTTTGGCGAATCGACTCTAAGGTCTTGGAATCAACAGGACATCCTGAGGTTCCTCGAACATAGAAGGTATTCACAGCTTTGCCACCTTTTGTGGTCACTTCTGCTCTTGTAACCGTGAGGCTGTTCTCCCTGAAGATTCGGGTTACATCAGATAGTAACCCGACCCTGTCATCGGTGCAGAGCTCTAGCTTCAAGTCCTAAATGAAGAGGAAAAAAACAAATCAGGGGTCTAAGAAACTAGATGTGACAAGAAAAAAGAGAAACATGACAAAGATGTACTTGTAGTTTGTTTAGAATAATGAAGAATGCCTTGTTTAAAGGGCAGAAGACTTGGTGACCAAAACATAAATATAGAAGAATCCAACAAAGGACAAACAGGTCACAATTATACAACTGAACAGATAAGGAAACAGATAAAGAGGACAAAACTCTAACTTCACTTCCGTCTGCTATTAGGCTTTTGCAATAGAATTGTATAATGACCAGGAATTTTTTTTTTTTTTTAAGGAGCCAAAAATGTATTTTTCAGTCGTGTTCCAGATGCTAGGTTTTTATTGAAAAGTCTGATAATAAGAGAACTATCTCCAAGTTTTTCTTGTTCCCAAAAGAAAGTGGTTTCTAATATAGACTTCACAAGAAATCACTTCAGGCCATGGCAATTAATGTTCAACAACTCCAATTCAACCACAATTGAGTTTTATAACAAAACTAAAGCAGGCAATCACAAAATCTCATACGTAGTGATATAAACTGACAAGCCAATCACCTCAGATGCTCGTCTCTCGATTGCAGCTTCAAGACATTGCATAACTCTTTGCCTTTCTGCATCTGATTTCACAGGGGACCCATCTACATGTCTGATATAGTACTCCTGCAGATACAACAACCATAAAACTGTGAGCCAATATTCTTAGTGAAGCCAATTAAGCTTCACAGCGAAGAATGAGTTACCTGATATGCTTCGGGCCCCTCGGCATCTATATTAGCATGGAAAACTACATACTGCATGTCTGTCAGAGTACAAACTGCGTCGAAGAGAAGCTTTGGCCTATCCTTGGATTGGATAGTAACTACAGAATAATCCTTGTCTGACCAATGAACAACATTCACATTTGGTCTTTGCTTCTCATCAAACCCAATGTTGCTGTTGCTGCTATCATCAGCTCGTTCATAGTCCCTATCAGCAAACATCATCTGGTGAAGTCTTCGCTCGGTATGGGTAACTTCATCAGTGACCTCAGTCTTAGCACTTCTGTTCCTATTCCCACCACAAAGCACATTGCAGAGAAGCTCCTTCACCAGGTTTAGCTTCTCCGGGTCATTAATGGCAGACCCGGTTTCCTCATCATTAACATGCACAACAGCTGCTGCTCTGGTATTATGAGTCCAGATTTCTGCATTCACTATATTGCATTTGAGATCGGTCAGAACCGCACTCACTTCTGAAAGCAATCCTGGCCTATCAGTTCCCATTAGCTCTATTGTAGTGTACTCCGTTGATTGCTTAACCCCAACAGATCTCATGGATGGAAAGCATGATTCAGGTCCAAGGGACTAATGTTTAATTGAAGCAAGGCAAGAACTAGTCAGTGGGCAAGACAATGTAAAAACAGAGAAAGTGATGAAAAACAAGACTGAAACGAACTAACTTTTCGAATATAATCCAGAATAGCTTCATCTGTGACCTTGTTTCCATGTTGGTCAGTGACATTAAAAACTGGTAAAGAGGAAAATAAATATTCAGATTCTTTTTTGGGGGGAACAAAGTTAAGGGGTATGATCATCTATCATGTATGTAATAAAAGAAAGATCATTACCATCCATGAACCATCCACCATCAGAAGATATGTAAGCCTTAGTTATGATAAGGTTTAGATCAGTGAGGACCTGCACAACTTCAAGAAGTATTCCGTGCTTGTTTGCACTATCAACCTGAAAATTAAAAGACTTCATAAGGGAAATTTCACGATCACAGAAATTAAAAGTATCAAGAGGTGAAGAAGAAAAGGAAATGGCTATATACCCTTATAACAGTAGTATTCTGGCTGGCTTCATTATCAATTACAACCCTGACAAGACAAGCGTACAACCAGGATGTGAGGACGAAACCATCGAAACCAAAAGGTTTCTTCTTTTTCTTCTATTTTTCTTTCATCAAATTCCATGGAAACAAATGTTCGTACCTGGGAGGGTTCATTCTTCTGAAGAGTTTCTCATATTCATCATCCATATAGTGAGAGAAACTTGTGTTGACCTCGGACATAAAAGCTATGAAAAGAAATAAGAACCAATCAGAGGAGAGAAAATAGAAACACAGGCACGCAAGTTCCCCAGCCAATGAAAAGAAAAAGTTTAAGAGAAGCTCATAATATTATTATAGTACAAAGCAGAAAGGGCAAAAAAAAAAAAAAACCTCTTTTGGAAATTCTCTCGTAAATAATAAAGCAGAAGGGGGTGAATGAAAGAGAAGTGACCAATCGTAAAGTGCTGGAGAAAAAAAAAAAACACAGAGAATAACCGTGTAAAGAAGAAAACCAGAGAGCCCCAAAAAACCAAAAAAATAGAAGGGCAGCTGGCTGCTAGATACCAGTAAAGCCTTGTGGCGCGCTTATCTGTTAATAGACTCGAAAAAGAAGGAATCCTCAAACAGAACCCATTAGGCCAACACCCAAAAAAAAAAAAAAAAATCGAAGGGCTAATTCAACACAGCAAGAAGAAGAAGAACCTAAGATTACCAACAAAGAAAGTTTAACAAACAGGAACTTAGATTCATGTCACCTAATTGAGGACATAACAGAAACAGATGAAATCGGAAAAACAAAAAAACAAACCAGAACCCGTATCCCAATTCGTCCGGCTAAGCGAACAGAAATATTTAACAGAACCCAGAAAGAAGAGAAACAGAAAGACAATAGAAAACAATGGACGCCCAAAACCGAGAAACGGAGAGAAAATCTAAGAACAGAGCGCGAGAAACTAAACAAGGGGCAGAGAAAAACCAAAAGAAAAGTAGAAACCGTGACCTACCCATTGGAGTTCCTGCGGATTCTTGATCTGCTAAACCAAAGTTTTCTCGGTTCTCTCAAAGGAAGAAGAAAGGGAAGAGACCTTCTTGGTGTTAGTATAATACCAAGAAGCAATAGTATATGTATATTTATAAACACAGCCAAAGAGATCTCACAGGGACACAACACACCCCGCCTCACCTTGATCTCCTCTTCCAACTTCGGAAAGAAATAATTTATAATAAATAATTATGATATTTATATAATGATAATAATATAATTCTTTTTGCCTAAAAGAAGTTGATCTGAAACTGAAAGACAACCCAATCCCTTCTCTGTCACTATCCCTCTTTCCCTTTCTTTCTCCCTGTCTCGTGTGTTTGCTCTTCCTGGTGATGTCTCTCTCTCTCTCTATAACCCTCTCTCTCAAAATTCCCATTTCCGTGACTTCCCAGAGCACAGCGTATTTAATTACTCCAAAAAAGAAAGTTCCTCCAAATTCCAGAGGCTAAAGAAAAAGAACAAGCAGGGACAGCAAATGTGAACTATAGACTCTAGGATCCATCAGCGCATGTTAGCAAAATGCGGCTTTTATATCCCTGAAAGGGCATGGCTTGTGCTAAAATGCGCCGTGGGCTTTGGATGCGGGGGAATCGTTTTAGCACGTGTCTTAAATGGAGTACATGGAAGGAGAAGAATACCATTCTTAAATTCCAAGGTTTGTGGAAGTAGATCCCCTGGCATTGTCACAAATAGAACGATGGTTAATTTTTTAAAAAAAATTTAATCATTAATATATTAATCAATCATTAGTATATGTTATAAAAATTATAAAAAATTACATTATGACTAAGTTATAAATAACATGATTTACCTGCCATATTTTATGAAATGTATGAATAATTTTTTTTTAATTTACATCGTTCTCGTGTTAAATTTCTTTGGGTAATTTGCAAAATATGCTGTGAAGAAAAATTAGATATATTGTTCTATATCTATATTTTTTAGGTGGGCTCTGTTGTTAATTATTTTTGAATAATGCATTTTTTATACATTTGTGTAATATATTAATTCTGAACTTAGGATAACTAAGCTAGTTAAATTTTTTAAAAGAATGTTTATATTATATTTTGATTTGATGCTTTCCTAACTAAGTAACTTGTAAAAAAAATGGAAAACATAAATGACGAAATTAAATATATGCTCAGCACACACACACACACATATATATGATGAATTCAAATAAATTGACTTTATGTGCTTAATTAATGCACACACCAATTTAACAAGAAAGAAAAGTAGACATTTATAACATTAATTTGACTTATATGAAGAAAAAAAAAAACTTGACATTTTCTCAATGAATCATAAAGAACTATAAGTGGATCACATTATTTAGAAGAAAAATTAATCATTTATTCTTGTAAAAAAATTACGTGATTATAATTTAATCCCCGAACTTTAATTCAATATAACTAATTAATTATAATTTGTCTCAATTTCAACTTGATTAGTCCCAAAATTTTGATTTGATACAACTCAATTATTATATTTTAAGTTATTTAAAATATTAGTTTCTAAGTATTAAAAAATAACTTTAGTTCTTATTATTTTATTTTCTAAAATATAGCAATAACTAACATTTTAAATGATTAAAACTAGAGAGATTGTATTGTACAAAATAAAAGTTTAAAGATTGAGTTACAACTAAATTAAAAATATAAAGATGAAATAATTAATTTTTTATTTATGATTCAATATTGATCCAGAACTTTTTATAAATTTTAAATGATATATATATATATATATATTATATATATATTGATTTAGAACTTTGTAACTCAGCTAATTTAAATTTTTCGTAAGAAGGTTTGTATTATATTTTTGATATCCTTTCATCCAATTAAGAATTTTACTAAAAAAATTATTGAAAATAAACAAATGTAAACCAAATTATTTGATTTACATTATCCTAAACACCAACTATTGAAAAAGATTCTACACTTCACGAAACATGCCAAACAAGTTATTTTGTTTCTCTGGAGTATGCTCACACCTATTAATTAGTTGCCACAAAATAAAGAATCGAACCATGTTTAAATACAAAATTAATCAACATCCTAAACTCTAAAATATTATGCAAATAGTATGTTAAACTTAAACTTTTAAAATACGTAAAAACTCTCATCAATGTTTAAATTTCAAGTACATAAAACCCTGCCTTTAAGTTGAAAAAAAATATATGTTACTTTTATAGTCATGAGGCTCAGTCGAAAGTTAATACGACATTCATTTTAACCTTAAAAATAACAGTTCTTTTTTACAACTTAATGATGGGGTTTCAGACACTTAAAATTTTGAAGTTGAAGATAGTGTTTATATATTTTAAGAGTTTAAAATTTAAAATATTATTCACATAATAATCTCTAGTCTAGAATTCTTATTAAACCTTTAATATAACCGACAAGGTTGTTTCTTATGCAAAAGCCACAAATGATTTCATTATATATATATATATGACAAAAATCATATATTCATAATAAAATTCGTTTAGTATGAGAAAGTAAAATATTTTTTCATGCATCAAATGAAATTTGAGTTGAGTCACATTATTCATCTTATAATTAAATAATGAAAAAATTTTTAGATAGATTGATTGTGCCACATTATTTGTATTCTATCTAATGAAAATGTCTCTAGTCATCTAAATAAAATATTATGTGATAGAAAAATTCTTAGGTAAACTAAGTGTTCCACATCATTTGTGATCTTTTCAATTAGAATACCATAAGTCATCTAAGTAAAATATTATGCAATGTTATTTTAATTAATTTTATTTTAATAACAGAATGCATATTTAATTTATTGTTTTTTCTTCATCTATTATCATTAATGTCTGAATCAATTTACATTTAACATCATCTAAATATCATATTTTTATTGGACAGGCAAAAAATGGTATGGCATACCCAATTTGCCTAAGAATTTTTCTTATGTGACATTATTTTAATTAATTTTATTCTTATAATAGAATGCATATTTAATTTCTTACATTCTCTCTCTACTATCATTAATATCAAAATTAATTTATATTTAATGACATTTGAATGTTATATTTTTATTGAACAAACTATAAATATCATGGCTTGCCCAATCTAACTAAAAATTTCTCTAGATGACTGGGTATTCTATCAATTTTTTATGATATATTGATTTAGAACATAAGTAAGTGAGAGCTAACCTATTTATTTTTCACTAACTTTTTTGTATTAGAACTTGATGCTTTCTTCCAATCAATAAATAAACTTACAAATTTTATTGAAAATGATAAAATACATGCCAACAACAAGAAAATGAAATAACCTAAAAAGATAAGCAATCACACCTCTTTTGAAATTTTCTAAAACTTCAAAATTAGAGAGACCTCTTTCATTTACAATAAAGGATGAGATTAATATTTTATTTTATGTTTTTTTAAATCCTCTCTCAAGTGTATGCTCACACAGTCACACTTCTTTTGAAGGAAAACAAATCTCACTTGAAAGTTGAAACTATTAAATATCTATCCTTAATAATAGTATTCCCTCTATTTAAAATTGTAAGACATTTTTAATTGGATCACATTTATTAATAAAGTAGTTAATTATTTTTTAACTAACCTTATTTTTCTATATCTATCCCTATTTTAATAGGGTGTTTCACTCTAAAATGAATGTAAAATAATTTATTAAATAAGGACACTTTTAAAAAAATAATAATTACACTTTAAAAAATTAAAAATACTTTATATTTTTTAAAAGAGGGAGTAATTATTTACAATTTTTAAGTGTAGAAATTATAGAGAGAATAAAGGTCTAAGAAAATTAAATAGTCATGGATCATAATGATATTCAATTTAAGGACAACAAAAAATCTAGTTCTTAGATCACTGGCTTGATCTTTCCAATCAATAATTCGATCGTTTCTTTCAGATAGTCCGTTAAACTAATTGTTTAAGAAACCGATAAAAATGACAGAAAAATGACTCATCAAATGAGAATGGTTCATTAAACTCTCAACCAACTAAACTGAAACGTAAGCTAAATTATTTGATTCATGAGGAACACCTAGTAATTAAGCAATATATGATATTTTCTTCCAGTCAAGAAACTGACAAAAAAATAGTTAGAAATAATCAAAATAAATATTTGACAAAAACTATAGAGAAATTTAGGCGGTCATGCTAATATAAACTCTCAACCAATTGAAATAATACGTATCACAGTGATCACCAACAAAAAAATTGACAAAAATGACTCATCAAATCAGATAGTCACGTTGAACTCTCAATCAAATGAATTAACATACATTAACAAACTTTAAAAAAAAAAAAAGCTTGGAAAATCAAAATATATGATAAAAATGACTCATCAAATCAGACAGTCACGTCAAACTCAACTGATGGTTGAAGTAAAACGTAAATTAAATTATTTAATTTGATTCATGAGAGACACCAAACAAGTAAGATTTTGTGCTTCACGCTTATGCCAAGCACCTCTTAGATTTCTATCACGAGTATCTCACACTTCTTGGATAGAAAGCAAATCTCACCCAAAGTATATTGAAATTGTAATTAATCAGACCAAAGTATTGAGATCAGCATGTGATGCTCTTTTGCAAGCTATAACACTTAAAATTATAGACTCCTTGATTACTGAATAAAATGTGTAATGGATGAAAAAATGTGTCTAATTAATGAAAATTTTATCACATCATGAGTGTCACATGATACGTCAATGTGTTTCACGTGAAAATTTATCAATTTGTTTTTCATGAATATTCCCACCCACCACACCTTTTGAGTGTGAAAGAAGCATGCATAGCTTTTCATCAAAAATAAAAATAAAAAAGAAGTATATATAGCCCAAACCTTAAAAATTATAGACTCTTGAATAAGTAGAGGGGAATTTTTTTCTGTGTCTTTATTACTTAGAGAAATTATATTGGATAAAAATTTTTGTTGACTATTCTTTCAGTTCTTTTTATAAATTATGTATAACAATTTCATCAATATCAATATAAAAAAATAAGGAGTAAAAATATATTAAATTTTTAATATACTTCTATATAACAAATCTAAAAAATAATGTCATATTACTTTTTCTCTCTCATGAAAAATAATTTTAAACATAATTTTTAATTATTATCTAAAAAATTATACTGTAATTTATAAATGAGATTAAATAAACTTTTTAAATTGTGACTTATCTCACAAACATCAAATGAAAATTGCGTACAATTATAATAATTCAGGTCGTCAAAATTGATTCCGTTGAATTCTTATGAGATGACGAAAACTTATGTCATTTTTTGAAAATTATTAAGGGAAAACTCATATCTCCCAAGTCGACTTGGTGTGCTGCATTAATTATATAGAGACGTAGAGTGTGGACCACTTATAACAATGACTCATA